TAATATTTTTTAAAAAATAATTATGTAAATTAATTAAATTAAATTCTAAACTCTATGCTTCCCTAATTTTGCTACGGAGAAGACAGTAGAAAAAGGGCTTAGCCTATAGTTTGCGTTAAGGGTTTTTTTTTTTAATATATATATATTCTTGTGAATGCTTCAAGGTCATAAATACGTAGGAGAAGTCAAAGTAAAACATTCTGAGAATTGAGTATGTCATAGTACATACATCATCACCCACTCAAAAAATTGGGAAATGTTTTATTTTTCGATATTTTAAGACTGTCACACTCGAACAGACACATTAATTATTTCAAATTTCTTAAATATTTATATTTTGTTCCTTAATCGTACCCAGCTCCGACCATTAAATTCGGACACGATGCCATTCTCCATTTTGCTTAAGGTAACATGAGAATGATAACTAAGAGCCTTTTAAAGTAACTCATAATTTGGACCTGTCAAAGTTACGTGTATCAAACTACTTATGAAGCATGCAATGTAAAATTGGCAAGATGACACGGTGAGATGAAGGCATTGGAACGAAAATAATATGTTTAAAATTTTAATAAATATTGTATATAAATTTATTAAAAAATAAAAAAATATTTTATATTTGATAAATTAACATAAATTATAACATAATTTTTTTTATATTTGAGAAAAAATAAATACGAACTACACGATATCGATAAAGTTTATTAATTGCAATATTCTTGTTTCCTCGTTTGACCTTTCAGCAAACTTTTCACCAATTTATTCCAAAATTAATCTTTCAATTTCAATTGTCCCCTACTTTAATGCACGGCAAACATGTTCTTGTTAGGCTGTTAGATCACGCTTTCACATTGCAAACAAGTTAGGCAAAGGTAATTAGACAGCTAGAAAATGATAGTTGTAATGATTTTGACTGCCTTTAATCAAACAGGTTTCACAATTAAAACAAAATCAACACTTTCACAATGAACAATATAATTGGGCTTTGTATTTTATCCATCATCATCTCCAAACCACCCGTAGCTTTCTCCAGGATACTCAATATCTCTAAAACACAAGATGGAATATCTCCCAACACTATTACAAATGGTTCCAGTCAAGAAATTCAAAAGTTATTGCACTCAACTTGTTAATTTCCCTGAAGCCTTTTCAGCACAAATCCTATATATCTAACATACTCCCTGAAACTATTATATTATTAAATTTCACCTTGACAAATAAAATATCATTTAAGGCATGGTGATGGATTTTTTTTTTTTTTTTTGTAATACAGACAGAATTATTTTAGATTTTGTCTGAATTTAATTTTTTTCATCAAATAATCTCATAAACATTCTGTCACATCAATATGATGTATTTACGATTTTGCTTTAAAATTATTTCTCATAAGAATTGAACCCTGATTGTTAATTAAAATAAAATCGACCACTGAACCTTTTATAAAGTGTGATTCCAATTTCTAAATTATATATGTATCAAATGAAAGGCATGGATGATTTAAAAAAAAAAAAATCTAAAAGCGGTAACGAAAATTGAAAAAATTCTTATATGCTTACCAAGTGCACATATATCTTGACCCACTTCACAAGTGAAAGAATATGAGAGCAAGATGCCGCTCTTTGTGGGAAAAAAAAATGGGGGGACCAAACAGCTGCCTAAAACTCAAAAGCTTATTTTGAAATACCCCACTTTGACTTGCAGAGCAGTACTATGGATCAGTGATACATCAATTTTTATTTTTTCAAAGTTTCCAATATGATCATCTGATGATTTTGGTTATGTTTGGATGCGGGGAAAATTATGTGCAAGAACTTAAATTATACAGGATGTGGACAATTAAACCGGTATTGTTCCTCTCGTCGGCAAACATCATAATCTTTTATATAAGAATTAAGAAATATGTTTTTCTTTTTCTAATTCAATAGAAGAATTGCTTGTAATTGTGCAACTAGAAAGTTTACATGTAATTGTACTCTTTATTTTCGTTTCACTTCCATTCTAAATTATTTTATTTTGGTTTATAATTTTCTAAAGTGGTTTCATTTTGATTTTTTTTAATACGATTAAAGGTATTACTCAGATTTTATTTAGATCTAATTTTCTCTTTGAACGATTTTAAAAATGCACTTTATCATATTAATTTAATGCATCTAAAATTTTACATCTTTTATTACATTTGTTCGATAAATTTTAAAACAATTTTCTAGGTAACATGGTAAGAGAATGTCCACAACATGCCACAAATTACAACATGGACAATATATGAATCCTGTATTAACAAAATTATCTTAAGGAAGGATCAAAATAGAACTATTTTAAAAAGTTAAAATCCAAATGAAACAATTCAAAAGTTGAGAATTAAAATAGAACCAAAATAAAAACGTTATGGATCATGAACGAAATTTACTCATGAAAATACCTTATAAATAAGTTGAAGTTACATTTCCTACTTGATCTTTTGTTTTTAGTAGGAGAATTCCATCAAATTGCAGTTGTCGGATTAAATATTAAATATGCTCATATCTATCTTATGTCATATAACCTATGATTTTTCCGTCAAATTATTGATAAAAAGGGTATTAATCCTTTCAACTATAGTCTATAAATTTGGTTATGGAATAATTAATTTGATAATTAAAAAGATTAAAATAAAAAAAACCCCAAAAAGGAGATTGTTGGAAGCATTTAGTGGTCCAAAGGTAACTGAATCTTTTCTTTTTATTAGAAACTACTAGTAAACAGTTAGAATCATTTTTAATATCTAAATCGACCTAACATGTTCAAAACCATATCGATTTGGTCACGTCATTTTTACCCCCTAAGTGTTCCCTATTTCTTACTTATTAATATGGACATACAAGTATTATTATTCATCTCATATTATTCTAAAGTTTCTATTTTTCTGTTCTTGTGACATCTTTTATAACGATCTTTGATTTGCATTTTGAAGTGCAAATATAACAAACACTTTTTGCCTTTTATTTCTCATTGCTCTTTTTTTTTTTTTTTATGATTTCAGATTTGTCCCCGGTTCTAAACTTGACACAAACATAGATCTAAGAAATTATCAATCCTAAAATTTCTATACAAATTAAAGCTCTTTACCTAATCAAACAAAATCATGCTAAGGTTTTCATGACAATCTCTCCTGTCTTCCTTTTACCATCTACTGTGAAATAAAACCCTATTCTCAATTGAATTATGATGCATCCTGCATGCAACTAGGTACTTGAATTAAAACCCATCAACCATTTTTTTTTTTTTTTTGGCTTTAGGAAATAGGATTTAGGATCAATCATAGGCTATATAACTTGTTTGTCATCAATCATGGCCCATCTAACATGGATGGGCTCTGGCGAGATTATAGCTTGGCCATGCCAAGGATTGGCAACAGCCATCAGCTCTCCATGTTTTCTGGCCTCTTCTCTTTTCTCCGAAAAGTTAAAGCAGGTCAGTACTGTGTTTTGGAAAACTACACTGAGTTTCATAGCTTAATGATTTCTCCAAACTCCAAAGCAGATTGGTATCATCTTCATTTGGTCCTCAGAGTACTAAAGCTACTGCTTAATGGACCCAGAAGAACCATCACTCCAGCTGAAATGTTTCACAACATAATAAAAAGGAAATGTTTATTTATAAACAAGAAAAAGAAATGTTCAGAATATAAAAGGCTTATAACTTTATGAATTTTCTAAAATTTAATTTTTATTTTAATTCAAACAAATTTATAATATTTCTCTCGTTTTTGTCTTAAAATTTATTTTTATTTCTTATTTATGATATTTCTGAATGCAGGCCTCCATCGCCTAGGTTGATCCAAAACTTTAGATTTGGATTCTGTGCCAATCAGCCTAGGAAGATTGGTAGCCCCAGTTGGGCTTTAACTATGAGCAACGTCAAGAAATAAAATAAAATAAAATAAACAATAGCAGGCTCATTGGCCATTAGTGATCCAATAATTTTTAACTTTTAAGTTCAGCCCCTTTACCATTTCATTTTCAAGCATGAAAAAAAATGTTGGCGCATCTCAATGGATTCCTCAAATGTGCTGACCGGCAATTTTAAAATTTGATAATTTTATATATTAATAAACAGATTTCTCAAACATCACAACACAGAAGTTGTCATTGCCCATTAGCAGATCTAAAAACTTTGTTAATGATCAATAATTTTAAGTTTTTTTATACTTATTTAAACTTTAGGTATGTAAAAGTAATGCAAGTGAGTAGATAAAATAGTAAAAATACAATCCTTTTTGCAGTAATTTGCAAATAATCGTTCTGGTCAAAGCCAGAATATCACAATAGCTAAGTGGATGAAGAAAAGCAAAGGCAACTTGACAACAATAGCCGACCCTCATATTTATAATAAGAATATAGCAAGTAGAAACAGAGTTTTCTTGACATGTAATCTTCCATGGACACTGTTGACATGAAATCTATGCATGGGAAATAAGAAGTGATGCATTGATCAGTTGAAAACTCTCTCTGATTTATGTTTTTATTCATCTTTCTTTTTAAGGGTATTCCAAAATTATGTTCTTTTTCTTTTTAAGATCTAAAACTCTTATTTTTTATATTTAAAATTAACTTTTATGAATTTTTTTTTATTTTTTAACATTAAAAATCATATTAAATATATTAAAATCAACTTTTTCTTTTAAACTTTCGTGAAAGTTCATACAGTCCTAAAATGTTTTTAGGACAAGGGTGTACCATTTTCCTTTTCTAAGTACTATGTGATTATGCTGATGTGACAGATTCTGTCGGTCCAAGGTGGCATAGAAAGTGAAACCCATAAAAGAAAATTGGAACCTGAATAAACTTGCAGGAATCGATTAGGAAAAGAATCATGTAGCCTCTGGGGAAAAGCTTTCCTGGAATGGCTAATGCCTTCGATTTTTAACTTTTCCTACCCTCCCTCTGCACGTATTCTTCACCCACTCCCCCCTTTTGCTTTAAATTATGTCTACTGCAAATTTTTCAAAAGACTCGGTACATAGAGAAAGAAGCAGAGAGGGAAAGAGAGGAGAGGCACTAACAGATGGATTTGCTTTCACCTCTTCTATTGATAATGCTAATGCTTTCATCAGGTAATGACTCGGTACATTCTCCATCTCTTTTTTTTTTTTTTGACAGAAACCAACAACATGAATAGAATTATTTTTTTTATTCTTGGACTTCGCAGGGCCAAAAATGCATGAATGTGCTAGAATCTTCACCATAATAAACAATTGCAAGGAAACTGTCTGGCCTGGAATTACCCCTGGTGACAACTTTAATGGTGGAGGTTTTGAATTAAAATCACGCCAATCTATTGTCTTTCAAGCCCCGGTAGGCTGGAGTGGCCGCATATGGGGTCGAACCGGTTGCAAGTTCGACAAAAATGGAAATGGTCCATGCCAGACAGGAGACTGTGACAACACCCTTAAGTGTAACGGCGGAGGCAAAACCCCAGCATCCCTTTCTGAATTTACTCTTGCTACTCTTGATTTTTACGATGTTAGCCTTGTTGATGGGTTCAATTTGCCACTATCTGTAACACCAGTAAATGGTAAGGGAAACTGCTCCATGGCTTCATGTGATTCAGACCTGAGAAAAATTTGTCCTTCCGAACTGGCTTTCAAGGCCAATGGGAAGGTTGTAGCTTGCCGAAGCGCTTGCGATGTATTCAACACCGATGAATACTGCTGCAAAGGGATATATGGGAACCCTGCGGTTTGTCAGCCTACATATTATTCCAAGAAGTTCAAGTCTGCATGTCCTACTGCATACAGTTATGCATATGATGATCCTACCAGTATTTTTACTTGTTCTGGAGCAGATTATGTTATCACCTTCTGCGCAGTCAGGTTGGTATGTTTTAGGACTTGCATAAAATACAGGTTAACTCGGGATTTAAATTCTACACCTACTAGATATCATCTCTTAAGATGGTGGCTCCATAAACCAACTAAACTAAACTCTGGGTTCGTATCAAAAGAAGTTTTGCTGCTACATAATAGCAATTTTAAGTTCAAGAGCAATCATTCACAGCTGCCGTATGCTAAAACTAAAGAAGCCCATCAAGGAAATGCCTATCCCAATCAACAACCCTTTTCAAAGCTATTTTCACGTGTATTTTACTTTCGCATTTTTACATTTTCTTCTGACATACTTGGAGTGGAGTATTAGTAGTTAATCTCCCTTTGATTAAACAGTTCATGAATTATAAATTTGTTGTTTATGATTTCAGGAATCAACCAGTATGCACTTACCATGATCACAAGCTTGTCTGCAGCAACAAAGCAAATAGCTTAAACCCATTGCTAGGGAGATGGTGGTCTGCTATGCTTGCACTGCTATTAATGGCTAACCTGTGGATCATTTTATAAGAAAAACCCATCTTCGTTTTGAGAAACAGTGCTATGATTTTCTTTTTCTCTAACATGGTTGTAAATGTAATTCATTCTTTAATTTTTCTTCTGCTTGAGAAACAAAATGAAATTTCTGCAATTGTTAATTCTGGCGTAATTAAATCCTATTCTTTTCTTTTCAAAATTTTTTCTATTTTGGAAATTGATCCAAAAATCAAAATTTTAAAATTTGAACAAGTGAGTTGCAAACATAGTAACCTTCAATGAATAATTTAGCAGTGCTTAACCATAATCTGGTAAAGACAATGTCATATAGATCTGTTTATGGGTTGGATAGCTGGTCAAATTTGCGGGTCTGGTTAGACATTGAATCAGATTTTAATAAGATTTTTCAAGTTCAAACTTGATCTAATTCTAAATATTTTTATGAATAAAAAGTATTTTTATTTAATTTTAAAATATGTTTCATTATAAAATATTAAAATACTCGGATCTGGGCAAGTTGGATCCGAGTGTGATGTTTCGAAATGCCAATAAAATTGGGTTTGGTCCGACCATCTAGGGTCATGGTCCAAAAGAGTGATAAAAGTGGAGCACACATTGGGAGGCTAAAGACCATTAAACCCAATCCATTCCCAATCTTTTTTTTTTTATGATATTTTACTTTTTTTTATTACATTCAGATAAAATTTTAATATAAATAAAAAAAAATTTTAATTCGAAATCAAACACTTAATATGACTAAAAGCCAGAAGCTAGGGGACATGATATTTCATTTTTATTATGGAACAAATTGCCTCATAAACACGCGAGATTAAAAAAAAAAAACAAAAACAAAAATTTATTCCACCAAAAGAAAGAAAAAAAAACAAAAACTATATAATCGGATCTCTCTCTAGTCGAAACAACTTCAGAAATCTGAAAAAAAAAAGGGGAGAAATGGCGAGTGGTGGAAAAGTGTCTTTCAAGGTCACTCTTACCTCCGATCCAAAGCTCCCTTTCAAAGTGTGAGTTATTTATGTAAAAAATTCCTTTTTCTCCGTTTTTGTTCGAGTGTTTGATTTAATTTTCTCAACTTTTGGTTATTAATCTCGATTTTTTGTATAATTCTCGAAATTACAGGTTTAGCGTTCCTGAAGCGGCCCCTTTTACAGCTGTGTTGAAATTCGCAGCCGAGGAATTCAAAGTCCCTCCCCAAACCAGCGCTATCATCACCAACGGTAAATCAATTCTTTCGTCCTACATCTTCTTTTTTTTTTTTTGTTTCTATTTAAGTATTAATTTAATTGATTTTTTATTCTATTCTTTTTGCATGTGATTTTCAGTTAATTAATTATATACTGTATTTGTTTAAAAAAGTATTTGGGAATTAGATGTAGAAACTGGCTTATATTGGCTGATTTGCCTCTTTTTCTGAAGGAAAAAATATTTTGAAAATAATAGGTGAATTAGGCAGAATCATTGTAGTAATTTAAGGTCATTATATCATATGATGAAAATTACGTGTTCAAAATAGTTGTTTGAGTTTTATGATTTGATAGAATTGGACATACCTTTCTAGAAAGGAAAAAAAAATCATTTTGTCTTGAAAATTTTCAAGGGAAATTTGTTTATAAACTTTCGATGAAGTTGTTTCAAGTTTTTTTGTTTCTCATCTGGGCCAATATTTTTTTTCGTTTTTTGGTGTATGTCCTAGTTTTGCGACTCGGCATTTGTTAGTATTCTCTTGTTAGCCGTTACAAACATTTTGTTAATTGCATGAGAATTTCATGGTCTATGGTTAAAGGTCATGCATTGTTTTTCAACGTTCAATCTTTTTTATTCCTAGATGCAGTTAGATAGGCAATTTAGGGGGCTATGTCTTATTGATTTATGACGTGAGGCAGTTGTATGTAGTTGCTTGTTTCCATCTTTAATATGTACTTTTAGATTGTGTATATATGGTAGTTCTTTTAGATCAGTAAAAGTATCCAGCTGGCTGATATAATGAAAAAGATAACGTATGGTCAGTAGAAAACCATTAAAAACTTCTGGATAAAGTTCTCCATGTTTGAAATGGAGCCTTCTCTTTTCGTTGAACTTTGGATCTGTTAGTCAATAGTTGGCCTTCTCCTTCTGAAATTCCAACTAAGGGGCAGTACTCATGATAATTTATGGAATCTGGTTCACACAAGGATCTAGTGACTTTTTCAGCTCATCAGAATGAATCTGGAATCAATTATATACTCTAAGTAATATATAAAGAGAGAGTCTGAGTTGGTCATCTCCAAGTTTATAGAGACCAACTCAGTTTTGAAGTTACAAAATAATAATAATAATAATAATAATAATAATAATAATAATAAAAAAACAAAACAAAACAAGAAAAGTTACATCATGTTTGGGTGTATTAGTCATTTAGTTCATATTTGAATTTGTTATTTATATTCAACTTTCACATCTTCTTTTTTACTTTTAAAACAAACAAAAATTAAATTGTGGAACTCTAAGTAACTTCTCTTATTTTTTTTTTCTTTACCTTTAACTATTATTTTCATAAAGAATGTATGTGAGCGTACAAGAGGCTAGTTGATAATAACCTAAATAACATTAAAAATGAAATCAATTGTTGTGAAATATAAATTATGCTATGGTTAAACTTTTATAATAAGCTTTGGCTCCCTCATTTCTATCATTTGTTTCTTTAATAAGCCTAGTTGCAATCTACAATGTTAAATATGAATTTATATATAATTGTGATCAAATGGGCATGTCAACTCTATGATGTTAGATATCTAAATATTTTCATCCTAAAATATATATTAGTTTTTATTTCAATCTATCGTTTATTGAATTATATGTTCTTTCTCAATACAGATGGCGTGGGAATCAATCCTCAGCAAAGTGCAGGTATGCTGACACTTACTCTTTGTTAACTAGTTTTATTGTTTTAGAGCTTTATTTTTTTGCTCTTGTTTATCCAGTCTCATGGAATTTTACCTTTTCCTTTAACTTTTGCACTTGAAATAAGCATCTGCATTTTTATTTTTGGAGAATCCAATGTATAACAGTAGTTTAGGATCTGCTGAAGAGAATTAAGGGTAGACTGGCATTCCTCTTCAAGACTGCAAGTTATTTACTGTTATTTCAGACTTTCAGAAAGCTTCATAATGTGAATTTTTGTCATGTCCTTGTTTTTCCCTCTGTCTTCATCATGTCTTGCCTTTATGATGGATGAATGGTAAGTATGCTCAGTAATGTCAAAACCTATAATGTAGTTTATTTTAGCATAATGTACCTTTGTTGCTGTTGGGCTCAGAATACCATATCTGATGTCCATCCTCTGTTATTTAGCAAGTCCAATCTTCTCCTATTCTTTAATTACAGCAGGCTGCATTCTTATCAATAACTAGTCAATTTGTAGTTAAGCCAGTAAGTTTGTTGATAAAGGAAAGGAATGGTAATTGTACCTTTGTGGTAACATATGTTGACTTTATGAACTAAATTAAGTTCATTACAACTTAGGCAATGAGACTCTTCTCCTCGTTCAGTTCATGTACTAACTCGAGAGTGGAATATGTTATTATGTAATTACAACACCGAAAACATTTTGCACATTTAGTTTAAAATTTATGTTTACCAATATACTTGATTGGCTTTGGCAGGAAATGTCTTCCTCAAACATGGTTCTGAACTTCGCCTGATTCCCCGCGACAGGGTGGGAGCCTTTTGAATGCTGAAAACTTCATTTGTTATCAGATTGAGAAGACTAGTTATCACCTGCTTAATTATGGATCCATTTTCTTAGTATGTTTGTACATTTACTCTTAAGTGTAGAACAGAGCTGATAACATCTACTTTTCAAATTTAAAGATAAAACCTTAAATTCTAGGGTTTAGGTGCCCTTTGAGGGGCTCCATTTGATACAATCTTTTTCTTACATACACAAGCAATAACTAGTTTTATTCCCTAGGATAATTACTGTCTGCCAACCATCACTAAGGGTTATAATAACGGTTCAGATGAAATCAGATTTAATTTGATTATTTTAGATAAAAAATAATATTATGAGTTTTTAAATTTGATTTGAATTTAAATTGGTATTCTTTTAAAATCGATTCAATCTAAATTAAATTTTATTAATTTGCTTCAATTTGCTTTATTAATTTTTAAATTTTAATTTTTTTAATATATTATTTTAATAAGATTTTTAATATATTTAAATAGATTTTTATATAAAATAATTATTTTTATTTTAAAAAATTTTAAATATATATAATTTAATAAAATTATATAATTCAATTTGATTTGATTTTTTTATGTTTTTTAATCTGAATTTAATATATATTTAATATTTAAATTTGATTTAAATTAAATAAAATAATTAATTCGAATCATATCAAATATTATAATTTTAAATTAATTTTAATTTAATTTTTTTATCATCCGTAACTGTCGCAAATAGATGAGTGTGAGCTATGAAACTACGAAGAACAATCTGTAAAAGGCATTGCTGTGTCGTATATGACCAATGGTCTGCAGCTTTCGTTTCATCTGCCAAAGAATGCTTTTGTCCGCTTCAAATTGACTGTAACCCAATTTAAATTTATCTTTAAAAAAAAAAAAAAGAGAGACCGTAAGAAAGAAATGTAAATCCGAATCCAAGTATAGAAGATGTGCTAGGCCAGGGTGAGGATCCCACTATAGAAAGCCGTAAAGATGCGAATGGAGATGCGAGAAAGTTTCGTGGGAACTGTTGAAAGGTTGAGTTGAGCCGTTGGGGGTCAGGTCCCGAGGCAACGCAATCGCTGACGGCTGTAGCCTCTCTCTTACTTTAACAGCTTTCATTTTTTAAAACTAGTTTACATCTTAATGCTAAGCACTTAACATCACATTAATAATTAATGGTGATGATTATGTATGATTAAGAATTGGGTTTGGATATAGAAGAAGGCTCAAGCTGTGATAATATTATTGCTACTACATTTCTTTTAGTAGGTCATTTAAGGAAACTAAATTAAATTTTACATAAGTTAGATTGTTAATTAATAAAAATCTCATTTTCATGATTTATTGTGAAAAAAATTGTAAGGAACAAGTATTTTATGTTAATATATATATTTTTAAGTCATATCATATAATCATTTATTAAAAAAATTAATTATTTATTACATATCATAAGTATAAATTTATTAAAATAAATATTTATTATTTTAATTATCAAATGTAATAATTTAATAAATAATTAACTTTTTTAATAATATGATTATATGATATAATTTAAATTAAAATAACATATATCAATATAGAGTAATTATCTTATAAAATTATGAATTTATGGATAAATTGATTTGATTTAATTTAACAAGATTTATTTGTATGATTTAATTAAGTAATTTTTATACGAATATCACATTTGATTATAATTATAATTTTTGTATACTATTAATTTTATAAAAAATTTTAAAATATCTTAAAAATTGGAATTTTGTGGGATATAAGTTGCAACGGCAATAATTAAGTTTGGGCGGAAATTAGAGTAGAGAAATTATTAAAGCATTAAATCAGCTGACTTGAAGCCACGCCAAGCCAACTAAAGCCAAGCATCTGTCACTGTTATCTCACTGGAAAAAAATAATAAAAAAAAAGAAAAAGAAAAGAAAACCTCCTGAAATCACTCCGCAGTCGTGCCAGTTTCAGACTTAGAACTTTAAAATCTCAAAAAAAAAAAAAAATAATCATCTTTGTTTCTTTTCTCTGAGTTTCTCTTTGCATGGCATCTCACATTGCAACTTCCATGAATCCCAAGGCCAATATCAACAACAACAGTGGCAGCAATGGCTACGGTAGCGAGAGCAGTAGCGGTACCAATAGCAACTCTCCAAGTCCACCTCCTTCACCGCTGCAGCCGCGTCTTTCTCCGACTCTATCTCAGTGCCGCCGCCGGCTAAGTTCCAAGAACCACTCCTTCATCCGCCGTAAAAACCCTGGTTCCGGCCTGAACTTCGGGCCGAATCTCCGGTACTTGTTGGTGCTGCCGCTTTTGTACGTTTCCGGCTTGGTCATGTGTGTCGGTCAATTTTCAGGGCTTTTGGGCTACGCTTCTGTTCCTGGATCAGTGTATCGTAGCCATGAGAATTTTCAAAGGCTGTGGGATGATATTCGCTTTGATAATTCTTCTGCTCTTCAGGTCTTCTTCTTCTTTGGTTGCTCTCTTATTTTTTACTTTTTTTAACCTTTTCCTTGCCAGTGAATGCTTTGTAACTGTTGCATGTGATGTTTATGATGATGGTGAAGCTGGTTGGTAGATTTTAGATTATAAAGGTTAGATTTTTAAAGGATCTTAATTTTTATTTGAATGGAGGTTATTTTTAAGTTTTTTTTTTTTTTTTAACAATTTTGGCTTTAAGTTAAAGTGGGTTTTTTTAATCATAATTATTTTCATTTAAAGGTTCACATTTGAGTTATATGATCACTTGTTTTGTTAGTCTTTATGTGAGTGTTCATTTCTAATTGGTTGCTGACTAGAAATAAGACAAAGTTTATCATAAAGTAATTTGGTTTATGACAAAGCAGAAACTGGAGTTAAATGGAAATTGATCATGAAATGAGAAAAGCAAAGAAGCTTGATGGGAAAAAAGAAAAGACTTTAAGATAATTTGATTTGTAGAGTTTTGACCTCTCTACTTGGAAAATGATGTTGATAATCATTTTTTAGCTAATGCTTAAAATCAAAACCTTCTTTTTATCGTTTCTGCATTTGTACTTTTATTCCTGGCTAGTGTTGGTTTCAACAGAGATATCAAACTGTGCTTTTTAAAAAGAATGGCTCACGATTTTCAGCATAACAAGAAAGTGACTTAGATAGAGCTAATTTGACAGTCTTTTTTTCTCGTATTGAGTATACTTAGAAAGCCCTGCTAGAAAAGGGACATTGTCACTGAAGTAGAAAATAAATGTATCATGTTGTCTTGGTGTTCTCCTTCAGGCTTCAGTCCCTTTAATAGGATCCAAAGATGAGATATTTCTGCAATAAGCTGAGATAATATGCTTCTTCTTTCTGCAGTTGTCCTCTGTGTGGAAATATAAAAGAAGGATGAAAATACAGAAACCTTGTCCAAATTCAACGGCTAGAAATCATTTCTTCATGTACAGAACTAGTATAACAGGTAATTTCTTACTGAGGTGGCTTTTCTCTTAGAGTTCTATGACCCTTCAGTAAGAATTGGTAATATTGGAGTTCATGAGCAGCTGTTGCATGATGATTCCTACATGTTAGGGGTAACTAATAAAGGGTGGGATAGGAGCATAACATTTATTACCTCAATGTTTATATATGTCACTGTTTTCTGTTCATTGAGAAATCTGTCCTTAGACTTCATCCAACCGCACCCTTGCTGATGCTTTATAGTTGTTGTCACTCCATATTTTTTTGACCTGCTAATGCTCGAAAGGAGAGGAAATGGTCTCAGAGTTTTATGATAATTTAATATTTCTTCTGAATTTCAGAGTCTCCTGGTTCTAGCGGTTACTTGATTGTTGATGCTAATGGTGGTCTTAACCAACAACGTTCTGCGGTATGCTATTGTTTATTTTACTAGATTCATACATTTGTCCTTAGCTGTGCTTTTAGTTTTTTTATAAACTTAACTGACATGCTTGATTCTCACTATCTGGCAGCTGAGTACCACATAGGGTTTATGCCATGTGCACAAAAGGCTTATTGTTTCCTATTGCTTATCTGTTTGTCAAAATATTTGTTCTGTCTTGTGCATGTAAATATTGTTGCTTTTTTCTTTAGATATGCAATGCAGTGGCTGTAGCTGGACTCTTAAATGCAATACTAGTTATTCCACAGTTTGAACTCAACAGTGTTTGGAGAGATCCAAGGTATATTGTCATTTACTAATTGTCTCCAAATTTAACTGAAGGGTGTTGAGAAACCCGATGCTTAAAACTCAACTGTTTTGCAGTCAGTTTGGGGATATATATGATGTGGATTACTTCATAGACAACCTTAAAGGTTATGTAAATGTGGTTAGGGAGTTACCTAAAACATTGATGGAAAGATATGATCGCAACATCTCCAATATTCCAAATCTTCGTGTCCAAGCTTGGGCTCCTGTAAATTATTACTTGGGAGTTGTTCATCCCATTTTGAGGGATCAAGGGTATGCGCCATCTTGTATATACTACATCTAATTTTGTGACTAGTAAAACAAATTATTTTTCTCTTATTACAATGAAATATTAATTGTATTAGTTAGATGTGAATTGAAGTAAGCAGATTGTTAAATAAAAAAGAAATCTTTTTTTAGTACTTGATAATAATATTTAACCAAAATTATGTTGACTGATTTTTTTGTGATGGTTATATGTTTGATGCAGGGTTATCCGCATTGCACCCTTTGACAATAGATTGACAATGAATGTCCCACCTCATATTCAGTTGCTAAGATGCATAGCCAATTATAAAGCGTTGAAGTTCTCTCTACCTATATCAACTCTGGCTGAGAAACTAGTCAATAGGATGATTGAGAGGAGCTCAACAATTGGGGGAAAATATGTTTCTGTCCACCTCAGGTTTGAGCAGGTATGGTGCTAATCCTTTTTTAATTTTCCTAAATTAAGCAATTCATTTCCCAAAGAAACCTATTGTGAAGATTAATTGTCCCTCTTCCATTTTCAGGATATGGTTGCCTTCTCATGCTGTGCGTATGATGGAGGAGAAGCTGAAAATTTAGAAATGGATTCTTTTAGAGAAAAAGGGTGGAAGGGGAAGTTTAAACGAAAAGATCATGTCATAGCACCTGCTCTCAATCGAGTCGAAGGAAAATGTCCTCTAACCCCTGTGGAGGTACCTAATAAAAGTCAAATCTTTTTGTTTCTTAATCCAACTATAATCTATTTAAATATTTTTTCAATGCTTTTTGGAGATCTGGAAATATACTATTTAAAGCAAAGCCTATAATGCTATATTTGCAGCCGCAATACAAATTTATGAGCTCTTCACCTTATTCTGTCAGTGTTTTTATCAATTACTTGGTTCGAGGTGCTACAAGGGTGGAACGAAGCCAGTCCTACTTTGAACTTTGAAACTGTATGGAAAACCAAGTGGCCCGTGGATGTAAAATAACTCTAAATAGAGCTAAAAGGCAGAATAAAGTCCTATATAGCAATCAGGATTAGGCTTAGGCTTTGCTATGTTGTACCTTCTTCCTACTTTTGTAGGTATAGCTTATGTTTTGGTATTTGGATCTCTCTCCTATATTGACAAGCTGACTTCAGCACCAAGCAGCATTAGACCAGATCTTTCTGGAACATTATCTTTTAAAATAAAATGAATGTTCCAAGTAAGAACGTGCTTGAGTTCCTTGCTGTATTTATTTTTGACTTTCTTAGTTTCTTGAAATGCTGGACACATTAATATGCATTATGCTCATGAAACCATAAAAGAAATCTCTATATCTGGTAGCGCACACCATATTTCGGTAGTAGCTAAAATAACGACTTCTCTAAGTTATCTTTGCTCGGTACAATATGGAATGTTTATTCATATTTCAACTGATCTTTGTATTTCTCTATATTTACTGTATGGCATATGCTTGTCCATTTTTTGCAAATAATAACTCTTTCTGCACGATGTTTTTCCCGTCAGCATAGGTTGGACTGATGCTATGTGGTATGGGATTTGACAACAACACTTCAATTTACTTGGCCTCAGGAAATATTTACCAGGCAGAAAAATATCTAGCTCCTTTGCTAAAGATGTTTCCCCTTCTTTACACCAAGGAGTCTCTTGCTAAACCCAATGAGCTTGCTCCCTTCGAGGTAAATGTTGTGCTACCATTCTTGCCATAGTTCAGATGTGGAGTTTGTTTGAAGGAGGCATAGTGTGGATTTTTTCCCCTGTAAATTAATAAGTTTGCCAGCCAGTTATCATAAGCAATACTGTCATCTATATTCTGACTACTTGGGTGCAACTTGAACAGCAGATTTTCTTTGTTACCAAGAGCTAATGTCTCAACTCTCAACTGAAACAGTGAATTTAGAACATTTAATTACTGGTTCCAGTTCTTCACGCCTTAGCCTGCTCTCTCCTTGGTTAAATCCTTAACCTTTATTTGCTTTTAACCTGTTTTTGCTCTTATTAACAGCAGTTATATTTAGTTAGACCAATTGAGCAAGTTGTTCACGCTTTTTCTAGTTGCTAAAACAACTACACTTAGCATCATATCATTATGTATATGACCTATATTAAGCCTTTAGAATAGAATTTTTTCCTTCAATGGAATTATTAATATAACTTCTAGGTTAGAGACTTAGGAATGACTAATTAATAGCTGGGGACCTAAAATGGAAAATATCTGCTTGTTTACGCTTTACTCTGCCTCTAACTAAATGAAGCAGTTGACTATTGTGCACGCTATCACTAATTCCTTCAGCAACAGTAATTATATGGAGAACTTAGACAATAATGCTGATCTTTCTTTGCATATCAAATTTTCTTTACGAGTGATTTAACAGAATTGAGCAAAGTGTTCTATCCTATTCGATTGCCTACTTTGAATCTATTTAGCTTTTGTGGTTTGCGCCCTGGCTAGTTGACTGTGCAGACATGTCAACTGAATGACCTCCAAAATGACTGATGTCAGAACAAGTTTGATTTATATTAATAAAATATTTTATCCTTTAAAGAAGCAAACCATTACAACATCTGTTTCAAATCCTCTCTTTCTCTTTGATAGGGGTATTCTTCAAGGCTGTCAGCTTTGGACTACACAGTAAGCTTGTTTAGTGAGGTGTTTGTGACAACCCAGGATGGAAACTTTCCACATTTTTTGATGGGCCACCGAAGATTCCTTTTTGGTGGACATGCGAAGACTATTAAGCCTGATAAACGCAAGCTTGTGGTTCTGCTGCAGGACATGGGTATAAGGTATTATCCTCTCAACTTCTGGAGTAACAACACCTTGTTACTGTAACCATGTTGGATTATGGGCAAGAATGATCAAGTTCAAGGATCCTTGACTTGTGTGCTTTGTAAAGTTTGCATAAGTAGTGGCAGGTTGAATATATCCTAGGAGAATGGAGTAGTTTTAGGTCTTTATGGTTATTTCTTAGTATCTGTCCAGCCCAACATGTATGTTCTCTTTTCTTTCACGGATGTACAAGTATAAAACATCTCTGTTCTCACTTTGCAGTTGGAAAGCTTTCAAGGAAGAGATGGAAGTAATGCTCGCGGAGAGTGATCGTAAGGGGATGATGGTGCCCAGAGTTAAAAAATTCAATAGAAAAACATCCATATACACATATCCTTTGCCAGAATGTGCGTGTCTCCAGCATTCAAATAATTCAACGCTCAAATTAACTGACAGTGCTGATGTTCTCGAATCCTACTACGAGTCTATGAGATAATAAGCAAAGTTCATACTTTAATGGTGTCCATTACAGTGCAATCATCAACCATATACTTCTAAGTGCATTGTTGTTGCGTTTACCATATGTCCATGGTTGTTCTCCATCCTTGTTGTGCTATCTGATCTGCAAAGGCAGATGAGGATTGCAGCTTAAGCAGGCAACATGCAGGTTCTCCAATTTTGATCATGCCAAAAATTCCTAGTCCGACAATGGTGCTTTGGTTTTACATAAAGATGCGAATTTTTTGTTTTGCTTGCAGTGCGGATGTAAGTAACAAGATGTAGGTTCTTACACGATTCTTTTGTATTTTCATAGTGAGTTTCACCCTTATAGTAGCAGCAGGACAGCTTTCATGCTTGCTCGTTTACTATGAAGTTCTGCAAAGTACTGATTCTGTATCTCATGAAATTTTTTGGTACGACAAGAAGACTAGCTGGCGTTGTCTTGGGTGGAAATAAAATTAACCAATTGTGTGGAAACTATGTTGTCGACTTCATTCAAGAAATAATAATAATAATAATAACAAACGAAGCAATGGATGCTATTTTGAAGGTGCAGATACAAATGCTTAATTTGCGGCTTACACGTGGGATTATCATATTAAAAGATGTGTTCATAGGGATTAGATCAGTTGATAATGGGGAGAAGTTCACTTTTTTTTTTGGAAAACGTCAAAATAAATTTTAAAGTGTATCAAATCCACGTGAGGGAATAAATTTTTAAAAAATTTTTAAATAAAAAAAAGTAGATTCAAATTTGAGATTATGCATATAGGAAGTGGTAAAGATGGTGTGGGGGATTTTTGGGGTGTAATTGGCATCCACATTCACCAATTACACCACTATGTCCCCATCCCATGGGAAAAAAGCAGCTTCATTCCTTTTGCCTCAAAAATATTATGCCACTGACGATTGCCCATCTTTACCACTGCTTTTTTAACCGAAACAATACTCTTTACTCCGCAGAAAGTTTTAATTAGTTAAATGGGCTTTTCCTTAGGACAAAAATTATTAGATACAAGCCCACTTGAATTTACTCAAAGGCTTCTGACTCAAAAAAGGTCCAATGGCCCCACCGTGAATTTTTATAAAAAAAAAAGATAAGAGAAAAAAATAAGAACGTAGAGCGCCACTGGCCTGAACCTGAAGTCGTTCAAACTTCGAAAACTTTCACTTGCTCACTTGCCTCTTCTTCTACTTCTCTCAACACTTTTCTCTTTTCTCATGGACGACGACACAACGATGACCCTAAGCTCACCCGATTGAGTCTCTGTTCCCGCTCTTTCTGCCCTAAAAAATCTTATTTTTCTTCCTTTTCTACCAAAAGGAAAAGGAAATGCCTTTGAGATCCGGCCATGGACAGGGAGGCTAACCTTCCGCTCCCACCACCCGCAAATCTGGTCCACCCGATTCCCAATCAGAACATCTCCTCCTCCCCTCCTCCTGGCTTCATCCGTGATGTCCAAGCAGCCTTCAAGCGTCATCGCTCTCTCGGTACACCTCGCCTCCCTTCTCTTTAAATTTAGTGTTCTTCAGCAAAAACCCAAATCTTTACTTGGTTACTAAATTTTACAGTTTGGGTTTTTCCATTTACCTTTTTTGGGTAATTTCTTTTTACCTATTTAGGGTTTATATTTATCTCAATTAAGCTATTTTAGTTCAGTTTATGGAATTAAAAGGTTAGGGTGCTAATGGGTTTTAGGGTCTACTCAATTTCCTTATATTGAATTTATTGGTTGATGTCAATTAATAGAATCATGATTTCTTGGATGAATTTTGTTAGCTAATGAGATGATGTTAGTGGTTCAAATGTAAATTTATGTTGCAACTTTTGAGGGGCTTCCAGGTACAATGCAGACGAATGGTATAATGCCTAGAAGAAAGGTGATTCCCCAGCGTGCTGCTTCTAGGAATGTGGGTGCCAATCTTGATACTAACAGGTCCCAGGATTGTTTTTCGTTGAGTCATGGTCAGTCAGTCAAGGACAAAATTATTGCTGGAGAGTCTCAAAAAGATGCATCCATCACTCCATCTTCAATCACGGGAACTATCACCAAAACCTTTGATGAAGATTTGAACCCATTTGATGTGGATCGAGATCAACCCAAGGAGGTTGTTGATAAAAAGGAGAATAATCCAATCCCTTTGCAGGATATAGAATCTCAACATGTTGATGGTCAGAGAAAGATTCAGTTTTTAACTGGACACAATGTCACTTCCCAGGGTAATATGTTTTACAATGTTCTTTAAATTGGTAGTTTATGTTCTTCTAGGTTCTACTTTACCACCTTACTTTGCGACTTTGTGAAAAAAATAGTTGAAATACAGCTGGTTATTTGTAGTTCTTGAATTTGTCACTATGCTCTGCAATGTATTTCCTCTTCCCTTTTAATCTGCAGGGGCCAATGATGGGATGGCCACTGGATTGGAGAACTTATAATTTCATATGGGTTCACTTGCCTTGACAGAAAAGGAATGTGATGCAGTCAATCAGGTAGAGCCATCAACTGTTGTAAGTAATGAGTCAAAGCACCGGCATTTTCGGAACATAGAATCTGAAGTCAGTTTGAAGTCTGATGGTGGGATATCTTCTTTGGCAAAAAGAACTACAGTGATTCAAGATCAGACACATCAGTTAAGTAACTTTTTAGGGCAACCCCTCGCTCAATCTTCAGTTGTCGGGTCATCATGTGCTACCACAACATCTATCCATTCTCGTTCAGCTCCAATGCTTAACCTGACAACTTATTGCTCTCGTTCTCATCAAAGGAGGTTCAAACGTGACAAAAGAATCCCGGGGAGATTTTGATGTGAATTACCAACTTGTAAATCGAGGAGATATGTTACAGCAACCATTTCCATCAACGAAGGAAATGAGCAGAATGCTAGTTGATCAGACAGCTCTTGCAGCTCAGGCTTCTACCTCTGGCAATAATGCCCAAGTGGAGGTTAATGAACCTGACTTGTCCAAAAAGCAAGAAGGAAGCATGGCAATCCAAAATGAACTTTTAAAGGATCCTTGCCCTCAGGATGACAAGTCAATCAAAGGGCACGATTTTGCAGGTGATGTGACTAATATACAATCTGTGGCTCCATTGTCGAAAGACTTGACTTCGAATGCAAAGTTAGAGCCTCCTAAAGCAGAGAAGGGGAAGGTTACCAGTATTAAAGGAGCAACGGCATCTCGTAAACGGAATTACGATCCTGACTTGTTTTTCAAAGTGAATGGAAAGCTGTATCAAAGGCTTGGAAAGATAGGTAGTGGAGGAAGCAGTGAGGTGCACAAAGTCATTTCATCAGATTGTACAATATATGCGCTTAAGAAAATCAAGCTCAGAGGTCGTGACTATGCTACTGCATGTGGGTTTTGCCAGGAAATAGAATATTTAAACAGGTTGAAGGGAAAGAACAACATTATCCAGTTGATAGACTATGAGGTAGCTCCTGCCACCCATAGTCACGTGTTAATTTCGGACGCACTAAAAAGGTTTTCTTTTTTATTATTTGAATTTGTTCACCAACAACACAAATCGACGAGCAATCATTTAATAGATTTGCTATTAAATAGACACTCATATTGGTCAACGTTGTCATGCTAAACCAAAATGCTTTTATTAGAGGCCTTTAACTCTGTGCACAATGAAGGTGTACTGATATTGTTGGACCATGCGAGCAGTTGATCTGCAGACTAATTTCATGGCCATTTGTTGTTCATATGCTGTGGAACTTAACTATGTCTTTTCTGCACACTGCAGTTATGACTACTTGGAAAATTTTAAGGTCATTGGAGTTTTTAGCTTGTTATAGTCACAAAGGTGGGGCCTGGGAGGAGGTCTATCACCACTGAGATAATTTTATAGCTCATCTCAAATGCTGAAATTTCATGATGATGCAAAGATATGTACATATAATATCACTTTCAACGTAATAAAAATTCCTTCTAGTACCCTTGCATGTACAAATAGATCTTATTTGGCAAGAATGTTTATCATTTTATTATGATAAATGACTTGAACTTTGATGTTATATCTTGTCAGCCTCCTTGTTGATATGCTTTGGCCTGAAGCAATATTTAATAGTCTTTCTTGATATTAGGTCACAGATAAGAATCTGCTCCGAGAAGTCATGAATGGCTGCATGTCAAATAAAGATGGCAGAGTCAAGGATGATGGTTATCTATACATGGTACTTGAATATGGAGAAATTGATTTGGCTCACATGCTATCCCAGAAATGGAAGGAAATGGATAGCACCAATCAGACCATAGATGGGAACTGGCTTCGGTTTTACTGGCAGGTTCTAAAGCTATCCCTTACCTTGAGTCCCTGTTGCTGTTTGCTAAGGATATTGATTACTTTTTCAAATTATATGCTTTAATCTTCTAAGAGCATTTGATATCATTTTTTAAAGTTAATTTGAAACTTGATTGTTGTAATTGTTCATGCTGGGCTTCTGTAGTGGCAGTCCACCTAAATAAACATTTCCTTCTTGAGGCTAACAATTATATATATATATATATATATATATATATTTTGGAGGAAACTATCGTCGTCTTTTTCTATTTAGCTTTCGCTTCAATTTGTTTAGCTATTTCTTCCACTTATCTTTGGGCATAAAGTATTCTATCTTTTTAGTTCTACCCAATTATCTTTGATCTTTTTTCTACAAACATATACACAAGGACACACGTGCATTAAGATGATGTTTCTCAAGAACTCCAGAAAGCTGAAGTTGGATGAAATGAGGATTTTGAAAAACAACTTTTAGCTTTAATATGAGCTTTTGCAGGCTAAAGTTTAGAATCTTTAAATTGGAATTTCTAAAATGAGTTGGAATGAGAAGTTGATAGAAAAAATAAAAAAAGCCTTTAAATGTGCGAAGATATATTTAGTTGTTTCAAATAATCAGCACATTTCACAGATCTATTTCAACATCTCTAGTTGGCCCTAACAGGTTTTAAGGGCTACCAGTGGAGTTATTTTCATGCATTCATTAGTGTTCGGAATCATACTGCTTATAATTAATATAACCAATTTCATCATGAGAAAAAGCTATTAAATGCTGAAAAGAAAGAAATGAAAAGGAAAATAAAAATTAGATGTAGGGCAACCTAGTGTTTGAGGCCGCTGCATAGCATGGTCCAGGGAGGGTGCATGAGACCCCTACATTTACGCACCTTATTCTTGCTTTCAGTTGTGGCTGTTTGCAAGTCACAGTCAAAACCTACCATTGAACCAAGGGTCATTCTAAGAAATTTATTGACTTTTTTTCCCAATTATTATTTCACTATATTCAGAAAAATGAAATCAGAGTATTTTTACTTTATATATTTATGTTGTTAGCAGCATGTACCTCAAGATTCTTGTGTGACTTCTGTTTCTGCCACTAGGGAAAATTATATGCTTTTTGTATCTTCTTTTTGTAAGTTGTTTTGACACTTTTTATCAGAAAGCAGGGATAGTTGATATTACCTTGTTTAAAATTGTGTTCCATTTATGCAGTCTTAGGGTCATTTCATATATTAATATTATGCAATAAAGCAGAATATTTACTTTTAGTTTGTTGAAGCAATTTGCAGCAAATACTTCAAGCTGTCAACACTATACATGAGGAACGCATCGTGCACTCCGACTTAAAGCCAGCTAATTTCCTTCTTGTAAAAGGCTCTCTAAAACTTATTGATTTTGGTATTGCCAAAGCCATAATGAGTGATACAACCAACATCCAAAGGGATGCACAGGTGTTCATTACTCATTGTTCTCTGAAACCTTTGATTCAAAGTACCATTCCCTTTTATCAATCAAAATTTTAATTTTACATTTGTCATGCAAATTTACCATTCTTATCAGTTAGCACTTTGATTATTTTATGCAAGATGATGATGAATTCATTTTTAATTACATTTATTATCACATAGATACTGCTATTTATATATGCTCTATAGCAACATGTTGTGTGATATCTCAATTTATCTGAAGTGGTTGATCACTAGGTCAATTAAAGTGCTTGATGTTTTGGGTCTGTCATGTTAACGCTTTATAGCAACATCTCTTGTACCTAACATGATTTATAGCAATTAATCACCCAATCAGTCAGAGAACTCCTAAAGCTTTTGTATACTACCATTGCAGGTGGGTACTCTGAGTTACATGTCGCCTGAGGCATTCATGTGCAATGAGAGTGATCCGAACGGAAATACTATAAAATGTGGCCGACCTTCAGATATTTGGTCCCTTGGGTGCATACTTTACCAAATGGTTTATGGAAGGACCCCTTTTGCTGAGTACAAGACTTTCTGGTCCAAGTTCAAAGTTATAACAGATCCAAACCATGAGATAACATATGAACCAGTTTCTAACCCGTGGCTTCTTGATATCATGAAGAAATGTCTTGCATGGGACCGCAATGAGAGGTGGAGGATTCCTCAGCTACTTAAACACCCTTTTCTTGTTCCCCCAGTTCCTCCCCAACCATCTTTGTCTCAAGACCAAAGCTGTCCGATGCTTGAACTTATAACTAGAGCATGTTCCAACAATCAAGACGCTTTGATGTTAATCTCTCAGCTGACTCAACTACTTAGAGACCCAATGTCACAGACATCCCGAGAACAACAATGCAAGATGCTTTCTCAAGTGTCAAAGCTTTGCTGTCAGCTCCAGGAACATCTAAGCAAGTCAGAGTGAGAGTTGGTAAATGATGGGAGAAGTATACTTGCCACAGCATTCTCAACTGTTGCGACTGTGGGGAGGTTTCTTTTGGCCTACGATGAGAGGAAATATGCTAAATCGTGCTCATTTTCAATCCCTTTGTAAGAACATGTAAAAATTAACATTGTGGTATTATATTCTTGGATATATGAAACATTACCCTTCATTGAGTTCATGAATACATGTGCCCATCAATCTTCCTGTTTTTGGATTGATGTTGGCCGTCCAATAGTCTCAATTCATCTGTTCGCTGAGGTACAAAACATATTTTGTACGATGTCATTTTCAGTTTAATTATGTAAAGTTCAATCCAATAAACGGCAAAAGAGAAGAAAACAAGCAAAAATGACCTTAAGGACTAATATTTGTTCAAATAATCACTACCAGCAGCTTCTTCAGCATGCTGTCTTGGGCTAAGTGAGGAACAACTCAAAAAAGGAAAAAAAAAATCTAGCTACTGAAGTAATTTTTCAGTAATTTTATCTGTATATAACCTATTGCCATCTGATGTTGGTGTAAGTTATCGTTCAAATGTGTGGCCCAAAAGTAAGTAAATGGTCCATAAATTCCGGCCCTGCCTTACAAAACGGGCCCAACATTGAATGGAAAACTAGAGGACAAATTCTTGCTCTGCCTTGTAATTTGCAAAAGGGGCCAATAGTGAATGCAAAAGCAGATGAAGAATTCTATCCCTCCTTTTTCTTTCTCTTTTTTTTTTTTTTAAACTTGAGATTGTCTGATTTGAAATTTGGTACCTAAAATTAAAAATCTAACAATTTACTGAAAGATCACATCACTTTCTTTTCGCCAATGTCAATCCATGCTTAACATGTGGGCTTAATGCAAAAACTGATGAAGAATTCTTTCTCTCGCTCTCTTTTTACTTTGAATTCGAGGTTGTTAAATTTGAATTATGGTTACTAGAATTAAGGATGCAGTGCTCTATCAGCAGAGCACATGACTTTTCCTCCCTCTCTCCCATGTTCAGTATGCATGTCAATGCATGCTTAACATGTGGGGGCTCTACCATCTAACACATTTTTAACTTAACCTTTTAATTAAACATTTTAAATATTATTTCTTCTGATTATCAAGTTAAAAGTTGAAAAAGAATATGCTTTGTTTTGCTGCATCATGTGAGTATTAGATTCCCTTGTTTCTATCTTATTTGAATATAACACTTGCAAGGCAGGCGGTAGTAGTTTCCATACACTTTCACATATCAATTTCATTTCATGATTCTAGTAGTTCACCAAGTCTTCAAGCTGGTTATGATTTTGTCAGTAATTATAATTATTGCCTTTCATGTGGCCACAGTATTGATTTCTTCAAAGGACTGAGTCAGTAGAAAACTTGAATGAAGAACATTCCATGCATCTTCGACTGGAGGCAACCTGTCATGCTGTAATACATGCGCAACTCAGGGTACTCTCCAATTTTTTTTTTTTTTGTTTATAACTCATGTCATATGTTACGTCCCTTGACCGTTCTTTCTGTTACAGTTCACATTAACTTTTCAACAAAGCATTCAATCACCAAACTCAAAAAAATCATCAACATTTAATTGCTCAATTTTTTCAAAAAAATTGAATGAGATCTTGGTCAAACTTTCATAAGTCTTTCTTGTATTATTTAGGTTCAATTTGAATAATGGACAATGACTAATGTGCAAATCCCATCCAATTTTGAATCCAAAAACACCCAATTAGTCAATCATTTGTTAGAAATTTGGTCTCTTCTTTGTTGCCATCTTGTAGATGAGAAAGAATGCTTCTATCATTTGCTCTATCTCTAGGATCACTCGAAGACATGATTATTTTTAAGTGGGTTAATGTCTGTCCTATGGTCTTAGGTTAATTGTCCCATCTTTGCCTTTAAGTTTGCTTAAGCCCCCGTCCCCCCTTTTCTCCCTTCGCCCCAAACCCAGCCTGGACATGGGTTTCTTGGATCAAAACAAAAATGTCTTACCTATTCAACTTGATGTTATTGGAATTGCCCGCAGGCCATAACCACCAGGCCACTTTAAGGGGTCCATGCAGCAGAAATTGTATCTCCATTACAGTATCAGTAATGGAATTATATTCAGGCTTAGTCATCCTCAAAAGGCTGCAAAAAGCTTGTGTCATATGTTCTATTTCCATTCACGAGACCTTTAGGACGTTCCAATTTCTTTCCCAAGTTTAGGGTCCCCGCAAATTGTACCAAAAAAAAAAAACAACAACAACAACATCATCTGCTCTTAAGCTTTGCAGCTTTTGTCTGTCTCCAGCTCGTCTTTCATTAGGTCAAATTGATCAAATTATGAATCCAATTTTTGTGCTTGATCAAAATCAAATTTTAGTTTTTTACAATAATTGAACAAATCTAAATCCCTCTATTTTACAGAACTTGAAATTTCAATTCAAATTCTAACAAAATTAATAATCAAACTGTTTAGTTGCTGACATGGATTATTTTTGCCATTGGACTGTTGATGTGGAAATTTTATGTCCAAAATTGCTACCTTAGCCCGTATTTATTCAATGCTTTCTCAATACAGTATGAAAAACATAGATTAAATTCCGATTTGGTCAGATTACAAGAAATAATCTCATAATTTGACCAATGAAATGAGGCGTAACTAACCCAACATTGAAATATATTAGGATTAGGATTATTATGTGGCATGAAATGAACTTATCATGTAACGACAACAAAATTTGTGTGCCTTGCTTTTTACAACTAGTTTGCTGCTCACCACAGTCAAACATTGTTTAGTGATTGTCAGTTCACAGTAGGCTGCTGTTGTAAAACTGTGGAAAGTGAAAAAAACAAAACAAATGCCGTCCAGCCAAAATCATGTGAGTAAATTCATGATGGTGACAAATGGTGTTTTTTTCTGCTCAAAATGACAACTTCCCTCATGTATTTCATTTTCAACTTTTTTCTTCTATTCCAAAAGGGTGGATGATAATGAAATGAGTTGTAACTTTCATGGGTTTTCTAAATTTACTTTATTTTATTTTTTTTTACTTTATCTGGTGATATATTGGTCTTCTGCAACATTTTGTAAAAGAACAGCTGTAAAATTGAAGACAGAACATGATCCACATTTAATAATTATTCGCTGTGGGGTTTTTGTCTGTGGAAATTCAAAAAATTTCACCAAAAAGTGGTTCCTAATATTTTATTTCTCTAACATGGGTGTACATCTCTCCAAACTCCAAATCAAATTGTAGATAAAATAAGATTTTGAGTTAGATAAAGCTACCTCGATGCCCTTTATAGCCTGCTAATGCCTAAATTCAAGGTTTGAGATTTTTTTTTTATCTGAGATCTTTTAGTATCTAAACATTATTTTAAATCTCGATTAATTTAAATTTGAATTAAATCGAATTTCATAAAAAAAAAAGTTCTTTTAAATTTATTTTTTTTATTTATAACATTTAAAATCAATACCTTATTTAAAAAGAATCGAACTCTTTATTATTCGGATAATCAGATGTTAATTTTTTTTATTATTTTCATTAATATCCTTTGGTTTGCAATTTGAATTTATAGAGACGAAACTTTTAGCATATATTTTCATTTTATAAAGGAAATCATAATTTAAAATAAAAAAATTATAAATATTGTAACTTAAATTTTAAAATTTATAAATATTATTTTTTGAAAATAATTATATAAATCAATTTAATTAAACGTCAAATTTAATTTATAACATACACTTGATATTTATATAAAGAGCATTCTTAAATCTTGAACACCGTTAAAATACTGATGTCCGGCAATCCCTAATAAAGATTCACCATTCCTATATCTCTAATCAATGTTCTGGGTAAAAGGTAAAGTTGGGATGGGGTCAAGAAATTAATTACTATCATAATAAAAATGTAATGATTGTTCTGAAATGTACTGAAAAGAATAAACACCCAATGGAAAAAAAAAAATGAGTGGAGAAGGAGAAAGTAATAGAACTTGAGCCTCAGAAAAAAAAAATGTACAAAACCAGTGGATCTATTCTCTGCGGTTGAAGAAAGGAACGAGACCAGTCAACATTCTTTAGGCAATCACATGGTGAGCTCCCATGGTGGACCCAAAGATAAGCTTGAGAGAATCGAATATGGTTGAAATAATTGGGCTCACATCAAACTAAAAAAGATGCTGCAATTTTGCAGTACAGTAGAAATCAAGCTGCTCCGTTCACGTTTACAGTAGAAGTAACAGTAACACCAATATGCCATTCACATTGTCGATTAAAGTTTGATCTAACGATTATTACCCTTTCGATGAAAAGTTGATGATCAAGATTGTAATTTTGTCGAGGGAATTCATCCATATCTAGATAGATATATGATTATTCACATTCGCAAGTACCAAGTTCTTTATGACCCAAGCTAGTGACATACTGACATTTAGTAATTAGAACGATCAACACCTTTTGTTTTATTCCTTTATCACCAAAAAGTAAAAGAGATTATTGGACTTGTAATTGGATGATTCTCTCCATGATATTTGCTCACTTCTAAAGTTGTTTGTGCACATTTAATCTGTGAATACGACAAACCAAAGTGAATATAAAGAATACAAATCTACAAGATAAAATCATTGAAGTGCTTCGTAAAAGTCGTATTCAAGCATCATTGTCGATATGATTATTGAGATTATCTTTGATGTAATTGTCAAGATTTAACGCATACAAGTTAGATGGGTTGAAAGCAAAGTAAAATAGAAAATGGGAAAGAGCCGACAAGGAGAGAAATGAACGATATCCCAGTTACAACTTGGCTTGGACAACAAACGTATTTGCTCGAGGAGGGGTAAGGGAAATAAAGGTTCCATTTGAATTTATTTTGATTATTTTGATTAATATATAAAACTATAAATTTTTTAAATTGATTGGATTCTAATCAAATTTATATTTTTAATTTTTTATATTATTTTAATATAATTTTAAATATATTTAAATATAAAAAAATTAATAAAGAAATATAATTCAATTCATATATTTTAAAATTTTTTCTTTTTATTTAATCTAATAAAAATATTTAATATTTAAATTTAAATCCAACCCAAAAAAAAAAAATCAATTTAGACGGAACCAAACACTGTGTTCAAAGAGTAATTTTCGAATTTTCCAAATTATTTCTCACTTAAGTGTGAGTGAAAGTGCAATCATGGCAAGTTGGTCGCTTTTCAACTTGGCAATGATTAAAAACAGAAAAAGAACAAGACACAACTATCCGTATGAATTTGCGTGCGATCGGACCGCCCGCATGCAAAGATTTTCTTTTTCTTTCTTCTTACAACAAAGGG